GTGCTCAAAATGAGTTTTCACCTGCAGCATCTGATCATTTTTTCTTTCTCCGCTGAATCAAAACCCCCAGAAAGCCTCCGCAGCTCCTCCAAAATGCATTTCCTCAAAAGCCAACTACAAACCCAGGTCCACAACTCTTTTCTCCTGCTCGTCTCTCATCTCTCCCTCACTTCTGGGAGCAGCTCTGGCATCCCCCGGTGCTTCGCTACACTTCAGCCTCCCATTTCTCCCCATCTCCAAACCAGAGCTCTACCAAACCAGCTGTTTGATCAAACCAGCAGCATCGTTAGGAAAGGAGGAAAAAAAAAAAACAAAACTTTCCTAGCTGCCTTGAAGTAGCAGGCAGGCATCCCCAACTTGCTACATTCAGCACATTTGGAAGCAAGGCACGTGCTGTGGAGGGGCTGCAGGCAGTTCCTCCTTGCCTCACCCTCCCATCTCCCCCAAACTGCAGAGCCCTGAGCCCAACCCCACCTCCCCACCCCCCCCCCCCCCCCTCCCCAAACCCACTGCTGACTCTGGAAAACTCTGAGCATTTCTGGGGGCTCAGGCTGGAAGAGGAGAGGGCAGAAATCCTCTTTTTTTATTTTATTTTTTTTTTTTCTCATCCTGAAAGCTCTCCATTTTCAAAGCAAGCACTTTAACCCCACCTCTCTTATCCATATCTCTGAGCTTTGTTTGCCTGTTTTTCAACCTAAAAGGCAAAGACAGAAACACAGGTTAAACTGGAGAAGGAAACTCAGCCCTTGGAAGCGCCACTGATGTGGCAGCTCTGTTTTACTGCTACCAAATTTATTCTTTTCTTCCTAATTCCAAAAAACTCAAACACTTAAAGGGCATCAAGGCAGGACAAACTCCATCTCCAGTGCTTTCTAAACTTGAGGCTGCAGAACTTACAGCAAAATTGCAATTTCTTGCCCTTGCTCCTGCTTGGAGAAGGGGAAATAAGGAGGATTTCTTTAACTTCAGACTGCAAACTGTTAAATACATTCCTCCTTCCCCAGTACGTTAAAATTGGTTAAATTACCCCAGCTCTGAACCTAATTGACGAAACTTGCTGACAAATTATTAATCCCTAATTGAATTACAAATTATTCCTAGTTTTTCTACCTGGAAATCGTTAAAAGGCATTAATTTCCAAGCCATCTCAGCAATCCAAACTCAGCACCGCGAAGCTCCCGGATCAAAAAATGGGCGCTCAGATTAAACTGAAGAACTCAATGTTACCACCACCGTTTGGGGGGCAAATCAAGAGAAACAGAACAAACTGACCCACATTCAACCCCCCCAGAAAGCAGCTCTCCTCCTGCCTCGCCATTCCCACACATTGCAGTGCATCGGGGTGTTCCTAATTATTTTTTAATAAGGCTGTAACTTGTACAACAGACCTGTTTTAAGGGGGATTGTCTTAGGAACGGATTAAGAATACGTTTTGTCTCAACGCTCCGGAGAACCACCTTCGTTTGACGTGAGAAAGAACGGCCAAACTTCTTTCTTTGCCCCCTGTTCGATTTGCACACAATTCAAACAAAACGGGGGGGGGAGAAAGGCACCGTTTTCTGATTGCTATTTACAAACAAAGAGGGCACGCTAGCTGCTATCAAAAGTCCTACAGTTTTCCACCACGTTTCACTGCACGATCACACACACGGCGTTTTAAACAGGTTTCAAGCAAGGACTTAAAAGCAAAACGCAGCTTTCGGGTTTCTCCATCCAACTCCATGCACCTTCACACCATTCCACAATTCCCACCTCCTCTCAGGAGCTCGCTGACCCATTCTGAATGCAGAGCAGAACCCTCCCAAGCTTTAAGCCTCCTGCCTCTTATCAACCCAACTCCCTCTTCCCCCCCAATTACTCGGTTTCATTCTCTCTGGTCGACTCACTTCCACATTCCTCATATTTGGAATGTCTGCTTGATGGATTCACTTTTTTCCCCCCCTCGCCCCTCCTCCTTCCTTCCTTCATTCATTCTTTCTAATGCTCTCGACTGAGCTCCCTTCAGCTTTGGAGCTTCCACCTCTACCCCCCATTCTGATTTATTTTCCTTTATTTTAATCTCGACTTGGAAAACCAAACCTTTTTTTTTTGTCTTAAAAACGAGTATTTTTCCTTATTTTTAACCTTCCAAAGAACAAACAGTAATCGTTTTTCAGACTGTAGAAAACACACTTTTAGCTTTCCTCACTTTTTTCCATCAGCAAAGTGAACAGAAAAAAAACTCCAAAACAGAATAAACGATGGATAGATTGATTTAAACCCATTGTTTTTAACGAAACAACGTATTTATCAGCAACGACCCTTTTTTTCAACAGTGATGTTTCAAAGTTTCGCTGTTGTTTTCTCTTTTTTTTCCCAAAATAGCTCCCCATGATCACTAGGATAAGTTGCAGCTTTGGGTGTTATTTGGAGAAAAAAAAAAATCCACTGTAATTAAACAGCTCTAAAGCAGTTTGTCCTTGTTGTGAATCGCTCTCTCACACCACATTCACAAGTTCTCCATTTTTTATCCCATTCCTGCTGCAGGACTGAAGGACAAGAGGGGTTTTAATGAAGAAAAGACACCAGCAGGGGAGATTTATTTACAACACGCAATTTCATCGCATGCGTTTCTCCCCAAAAGCACCCAGCTCAGCTCTCCTGAACTTCAGCATTCGTAATTTCAATGAAAAGAAACACAACCATCGAGCTGAGTTTTATTTTACAGGTTTATCTGCAAAGCACATCGTTGACCATCGCTTTCTTTCCCACGTTTCTACATGAAAATAATGCAGATCTAAACGCGAGGCTGGGGGAGGTGGGTTTAGATCACATCAAAACCCATCTGATTTCGTCCTCTCCGCTCACACTTAATTAACCATATCCTGCTCTCTGTGCTTTAAACTGGAAAATCCTGTCTTAAAAAACAAGCAGAAAGGAAAAAGAGAAAAAAAAAAAAAAAAAGGCAACAACTTCAAAAACAGAGACGGTGCCATCACTGCAGCCTTTATCCAGAGAGAAGGGAGGGAAGCAAAACAGGCAGAAAAGTCCACCAACAACCTGCAGAGTTTGCAGCTATGCCACAGTTGCCTTTGCTGACCCAGAAACACAAACTTGGCATCCCAAAACTGAGGCAAAGAAACTGTAGCAACCTCTCCACCAAGCATCCAGCCACCCCATCTCGGCTGACGAGGCGATTTTCCAGCAAAGCACATGAAGAAAGTCAACAGCAAAAATGGCTCCTGCAGCTTTAAAGGCAGTGGATGGGGTTATGGGGCTCAAACCAAAGCCCCTTCTCACCCCCAGCCCGGGATTTAGCCACCAAACGTAATGAACTGCACTTCTCCTGGTTCTCATTAAACCACGCTAACGAACCTTCCCTTTGCTTCCACCCATTGTAAAGTTTCACCCAGCATTTCTTTGAATTACAGACGCCAAAGAAATATTTACATTTCCATTGAATTTCTCCCGGAGTGCTCTTAGCAAAAGTCAGAGGGGGGGGAAAAGAGGGGAGCAGGGAAATACTCTGAGATCTTCTGCACCCCCCAACGCCATTGATCACCAGAAGTACTACAGATAAGTAAAAAAAAATCGTGATGCATCCCCTTCCATTCCCCCCCCTTTTCTTTTTTTTCTCCCCCCCATTTATTTCTCGGCGTTATTACGTTACCCTTCATAGGATAATTGCCTTTCCAATAACACACTTAGATTCATTGATACTGGGAGCCACGGGGAGACTCCGAGCCTTATAACGACCGATATCGATCCCCTTTCCACGAGGAGGGTCTGGAGAAAAAAAACAAACCCTACAGGGGACGTTATTAAATGGAGTCCTGCCTTTAGGGTCGGCCCTACCACAAGGCACAACCCCCTGGCGAGGAAAAGGACCGTCGCCAAAAACCTACAGCCTCGCAATAGGATTCCAACCAGCTCCCCCAAAGGGATCCTCGGCCAGCAGAATAAAAAAAAAAAACCCCAAGAGTTTAGGGAAGAAGAGTTGTTGTTTTTTTTTCCTCTTCCCTCTGCACCACGTTGAGCGCCGGGGCGGCCGCCCCATCACGTGGCGGAGCGGCTGCATGGCCCAGCATGGGCACAGAGCCTTGAGGAGAGCTCCCCCAGCTCAGTGGGGGGAGAGAATCAGCATCACCCCCAAAGACCCCCCCCCCCCCCAACAAGCAACAGTGAAACCCCCTCCTCCCTCCCGGACCCAGCAGTTTGCTGCCTGCACCCTCAAGTCCTCCAGGCTCGGCGTCCCGCGCGCCCTCAGCAACAAAGGGCCAAGAAGATGGGGAGGGCCGGGGAAGGCCGCGACGCCCAAAGAGAACGTGAAGAAATGGGGTTTTAGCCCCAAAAACAACAAGTTGGGGGGGGCAACCAGAAGCTGAGCCAGCACCCCGCATGGCCGGGCTGAAACCTTGCACCAACAAGCAGCTGGCCCTATTTTTATGTAATTATTGACGCCCGTTTTTAAGCCCTCGCCCTCCATCCCGGCAAATTTCACCCGTGAAGGAGAAATCAGCCAAGAGTGTTTTATTAAAAAAAAAAAAAAAACTTGGCGGTTCTGTCGAAATAACAAAAGGTTTTTGGGCCCCTTCTCACGGGGAGAGGCTGGGAAATTCTTCCAGTGCCACAAGTTTGAAAATCCCAACCCCAAACGCCATTCATCACTTGGGCGAACGGACGGGCGGCGAATCGTCGGGTTGGGTTTTTTTTGGGGGGGGTGGGGGGATTTTTCTTGTTAAACAAACAAACAAAAAAACCCTTAAACCCAAAGAAAAGCTTCCTTTCGAAAGACCCTACAGATAAGAAGGGGGGCACTGGTCCTCAGAACCGCTCCTCACCTCGCTGGGCCATTACCCAAAGCCAAACCACCACCATATCTCCTTCCACATGCACATATTTGGATATAATTTTTTTTGCCTCCTTCCTCTTACGTTATTATTTCCCCCACTCCAAAGGAAAAAAAAGAAATAAATCAATACAACAAAAAGACAGAAAAAGTAATTAAAACACCGTATTACCTTTGCTTTTTAGGTACTGAGTGTTCAATCTCTAGCTGTTTTCCATGCAGCTCCACTTTCCCTAAAAATAAAATGTGGCTGTTTTGTATGATCTGGGCGGAGGGGTCAGAAAGCTTTGGGTAACATTCTATCATGTGAAACTTCCCATTTAATTTCAATCACTACAAACTGCACAAAAAGGCTTTTTTTTTTCGTTTTGTTTTGTTTTGTTTCCGATCACAAGTGTGTTCTATTAAATATAAGGCTGACTTCTAATGCGGCGGGAGGGAGTGGTGAGTTCTGAACAATGTTCCTTAGGAATATTTAATTCCGTCCTTCATTCAGCTCCGATTCGAGCAACAGCAAACGAAGAATAATATTTGGAGATCAATTTTTCGTCTTTAATTCCACGCATTTGAGCCGTGCAGAACTCCTCCGGGCAGATCACTCCTCCTCCCCATTAAAAGACTCGAAATTTTAACTCCACGCTACGAATGGATTTCTCTTGGAAAACGGGGCGGATTTCTACACCGCCGGTTTATTTATTAATTGGGGGGAGGGATGGGAAGAGGGGAGCAGCCATGGGAAAAGCCCGGAGGAAGAAGCTTTGGGCGAAGGGGAAAAAAAAAAACTCCAACATTTTCAAAAATTCTCTGTTTCCCGGGGACGTTTTTTTTTTTTTTTTTTTTTTTTTTTTTTTTTGGCCTTTTCCCCCCCCCCCCTCCTTCCCCCCCTTCTGTCTTGCGAACAGCATGGCGACCTTCGCGCTCCTCCGCGCATCACATGCCCCAGGAAACCCAGTTTGAAATCAAAATGGCCAAAGTCCCACCCCACCGCCACTGTCGCGACGGGACCCCCGCGCTGAGTACCGCCGGATCGGGCACCGTGCAGCCCCCCCGTAGCTATGGGGGGCCATAGGGAGCTGCGGGGGCCCCTCTCCTTCCCCCCCTCCCCCTTCCCCACTGCGGTTATTGGGGGAGAAGCGGGGTTTGCCCCCGCGCACCGCTCGCTGATGCAAACCCCGACGGGGCGCAACGGCCCGAACCCCCCCCACCCCGCTCCCCACCCGAGCCTGAGCCCCGACGGGGTCCCGCAGACCAGAGCAGAAAGGGCCGGAGGACACCGCTTACCCGAAAAAGTTTCGATGGCTTTCATGGCCCACTGTTCGTCGGGGCAGTCCACAAAGGCATAGCCGGACTTAACCAGGAACTGCCCGCTGAAAGAGATCTTGTGGTCGTTGAAGACTTTCTCCAAGTCGGCCGGAGTCACGCTCTCGTTTAGGTTCCCGATGTACAGCTTGTTCATGGTGGCTGCCGGCGGGGGGCGGCGGACGGGCGGGCGGTGGCGGCGCGCCGGGGCTCGGAGCGCGGCTGCCGGGGGGGCTCCCACCGAACGCCCGCACCGTCGGACAGCGGCCGCCCTCTGCCACCCCACAGCCGGGGCGGGGGCTCGGTGCTCCTTTTCTTTGAACACTCCCTCCCCCCCCCCTCCCTTTTTTTTTTTTTTTTTTTTCTTTTTGCTTTTTTTTTTTTTTTTTTTGGGGGGGGGGGTTTGGGGTGGGTTTTTTTTTTTTTTTTTTTGGTCGTTTGGCGGAGTTTTCCTCGCAGAGGGGTGCAGGCGGCTGCTGGACGGGGGGGGTTCCTAAAGGAGGGGGCGGCTGTAGAGGGCGACGGCAGCGGGGAGGGAGGCGGCGGCGCCGGCTGCGGGGCCCCCAAAGCGGCGGAGCGGCACCGGAGTGTCACCGGACGCCTTTCGGCAGCCGGGCACCGCCTCTAAATAAAACCGACCTGGAAAATGAGTGAAAATGTTTGCGGGAGGAAGCCACGTGGTGATGCGGGAGGGCCCGGCCCCCGGGGGGAGGAGCCGAAGGGGGGGGAGGGGGCAGCCTCCACTTCATTATTTATTTTAATTTAAATACTACGTTATTTACCTCCACACAGACACACACACACCCCTCTTCGGAGCGGGGAGCGCAACCGCTCTGCGTTCCCTTCGCATCCATCCCCCCCCCCCCCCCACCGGGGGGGGCCGGCCCGTCCCAAAAAAAAAAAAGAACAAGAACAAAAAAGAGAAAAAAGAAAAAAAAAACCTTCGGCATCAAAGGGGCCGGGAGGTCCCCTGGCGCCAGGGGAGCGGGGCTGCAGGGGAACGGTCCGACCCGGCGGGGTGAGCGGAGGAGCCCCCGGGGAGGGCTATTGTCCCCGGTATTGTTTTAAGCCCTTCATGTGCAGCCCTGCGGAAGCCTTCGGGGAAGGGGGAAGGCTCCTCCTGGCACAAAAGGGCCCCGCGATACAGCGGGATCGCTCCCCGCGGGACCCGGGGTAGGGGGTGAGGGGGAGGGGAAGGGGGGGGGGACGCGCCCCGTCGGCGGAGAGAAGCAGCCCCCCATCCCCCCGTCCCTAGAAACCCTCCCTCTTTCCCTCTTCGCCTTTTCTGGAGGCTTTTTATTTTTAGGCTCGAGATGGATTGAAAATAGCAGCGACCCCCCCCCCCCCCCCCCCCCCCCCCCCCCCGCCCGCCTTCCTGCTGCCCCCCCCGACGGGGCGGGCGGGGGACCCCGGTGCTCCGGGGGCTCGGGGAGGGCGGCTGCCGGGCGCGGAGGGGCGGGGGCGGCCGTGACTCCCTCCCGTACATGTAGAGGCACGGGCCGGCCCCTCCGCGCCTGCAATTAAATGTAACGCGCTCCTGCCTGCCTTGCCCGCCGGGCCGGAGGTTCCGTTTTCCCCGTCCCATCGATCAAAAAAATAAATAAATAAATAAAAA